AATCAACAAATATCTAAAGCTGCCTTTGCATTAATTTCATTTGATATGTATAGTAAATGGTACTTTGCTCCCTGTACAACCTCCTTCAGGTTTCTTTTTCCTTCCTCCCTCCCTCCCTCCCTTCCTTCCTTCCTTCCTTTCTTTTGGTACTGGGTATCGAACTCAGGCCCTTGCACTTGCCAGGCAGGGAGTGGAACCACTGAGCCAAACCCCTGGCCCCTTCAGGTTTCTTTTTCCTGTAAAAAAGACAGGATGACATGCCAAAGATTAAAACTAGCCCAGTATCTTTCACCACACGCTAAACAAAAATTGAAATGGATCAAAGATCTAAATATTAAAACAGAAACACTAAATCTGCAAGAAGATAGAATAGATAGAAAGAACTCTTGAAGTCAGTGGTGTAGGCAAAGATGTTATAAACAAAACCCCAACCACACAGGAACTATCACAAAGAATCAACAACTGGAATCTCATCTTATTAAAAAGCCTTTAGGACCAGGGATTTAGCTCAGTGGCACTGCACTTGCCTCATAAGCGCAAAGTCCTGAGTTTGATCCCCAGTACCAAACAAAATTTTTTTTAAAAAAGCTTTTACACACAAACCACCAACAGACTAAAGAGACAACCCATAGCGTGAGAAAAAATTTCACTAGGTGATACTCAAGACAAATAGACTACTATCTAGAATAAAGAACTCAAAAAAAAAAAAAATCAGAACCCTCATACTTAAAAACTGAATCCAAAAATGGGCATCTGAAAAGACAGTTCAGATGAAGTAGCAAAAGCAAGTAAATACATGAAAAAAATGTTCAACATCACTAGTCATTGGAGAGATGCAACTTAAAACAACACTGAGATTCCATCTCACTCCAGAAAGAATGGCTATTATCAGGAAATCAACCAATAACTAATGTAGGAGGGGCTATGGGGGAAAAGGAATCCTTCTCTACTATTGCTGGAGCATAGACTGTGCAACCATTGCAGAAATCAGTGTGGAGATTCCTCAAAAAACTAAAACTAGAGGTTCTATTTGACCCAGTTATTCTTCTAGGTATCTTCCCAAAAGAATTAAAAGCATTACACCACACTGATATATGCACATCCATGTTTACAGCAGCACATTGTATAATAGCTAAATCTTGCAAACAGCCCAAATGCCCATCAATCAACATATATAAAGAAGATGGGGTTTTATACAACGGAGTACTACTCTGCCATAAAGAAGGATAAGCTTGAGACATTTCTAGCTAAATGGATGCACCTTGAGACCATACTGTTAAAGTGAGACATATTGGATACAAGTGTAAACACTACATTGTTTCTTTGGTGTGAGAAACCAAAAGTGGAAATAAGAACCAAAATGTGTAACAGATATTAGGAAATGTGAAGACAATGCTCAAATGAGAAGGGAGGGGGGAGGGAAAAAGGAAAAAAAAAGAAGAAAATAAACAAAAAAAGTTTTGTAAATAAAGAGGGGAAGCAGGGACAAAGGGGTGGGGATGGAAAAAAAAGCAAGATATATTATGTACAGGTACAAATTTTGTATGATGAATATTATCACTATGTATATCTAAAATGTACCTAGAGCTGTAATCTAGCATGTACTAGCATGCCTGTAATCCCAGAACTCAGGAGGCTGAAGCAGGAGGATGGCCACGAGTTCAAGGCCAGCGTGAATTACATAGTGAGAACCTGTCTCAAAAAAAAAGTACCAATAAAGGTTATGCTTCCAAAAAAAAAAAAAAAAAGACAAGGTGAAAAGCAGGTGACTTTGAGAAGTAAGTGATTTCTTCTCCACTTTTGGTCCATAACAATTTCTTATCGAGTTTGTGTTTTTGGGTTAAGCACCTCTAGTTTTAAAAGTAGGTGACAGTAACAAGTACTGGTGAGGATGTGGTGAAACTAAAACCTTCATACATCTGTCAATAAGAATATAAAATGGTGCCGTCACGGTGGAAGAGTTGGCAGTTCCTCAAAAAGGCTAAACAGCTGTAATGGCACATGCCTGTGACCTCAGCACTTGGAAGGCTGAGGCAGGAAGATCGCTGTGAGTTTGAGGCCAGCCTAGAGTACAAAGTAAGTTCAAGACCAGCCTGGACTACACAGTGAGACCTTATCCAAAAAAAAGAAAAAGAAAGGCTAAACATATAATGAAAACTGTATATACATAGATGAAAAATGCTCTTAGAAGCATTATTAACAGCCAAATAGAAACCCAAACATCTATCTGCTGATGAACGAAATGTGGTCTATCTGTACAGTGGAGTATTATTCTGCCATAAAAAGACTGAATTACTGATATCTGCTACAATACAGACTTAAAAAACATTCTAAGTCAAAGAAGCCGGATAGGAAAAGATCACATGATCTTATCCAGGCAAAATTGTCCAAAAAAGGGAAATACACAGAAACAGAAAGTAGACTAATGCTTTTTAGGGGCTGGGAGATATGAAAAGAGAGCGACTGCTAATGGGTATGTTTCTTTTGGGACCATGAACATATTCTGGATTTAGGAGTGATAAATGAAGAATCATGTGAACACTATTAAAAACACTGAACTATGTTTGAGTAGATGTCATGGTACATAAAGTATATTTGAATTTTTAAAAGTAGATGATACTTTAATAAATCAGTAAATAAAAATAAAAATAGGAAAATAAATTTTGGAGTTTTTTGGGCGGGGAGTCTTTTTCAGAGAGTCTTGCAATGTACTCAGGCTGGCCTAGAACTGAGTGCTGGGATTATGGGCATATTCCACCACACCCAGTGGGAAAACCTGTCTATAATTAAAGGGACAAGAAAGTTTATAGGAAAAGGCATGGATCTTGCTCCTCTTATCCACTTTAAAAAATTACAAGTACGAAGCAGACACATTTTGAGGTTTCTTGTCTTGCTCTTAAAGCTCTTCTGGTTAGGAAGACACTGGTAGCTGGAGATGGGCTCACTTCCCTTATGATACTTAACTTTTCAACTATTTATTTAGAGCATTATAATTAGTCCATCTAGTTTCTGAAAGAGAGAAATGAGCTGAATTGTAGTAGTCCTACCACAGTGGGCTGTCACATTACAGCCTTCTCTATCTGTAAGATTCTTATCCACTGGACCTTTTTATCCTCAATACTCTAGGACTTTAGCATACTGTAAGGTCTTACTAAAACTGAATGACTCCTTTAACAGTATGCATAACTCTGGTTACCCAAAGACTCAATACATACCTCTCCAGGCCTACGGTCCTGAAATATTACCCTGGTATTGCAATGGACAGTGAAAAGAGACCAAACAGAATCAGGAATCTAGGCTTTAAAATTCAACTTTTCCAATGACTGTGTCGTTCTGGGAGAATCATTAACCTCTCTTACTCTGATGATAAAATGGGCTATTACATTATCATGTCAAGTGATTTCAAGCTTCAACTGATACAGCATTTTGTAAATTACAAGCTTTTAACTTAGAATGTGACTTTTTAATTTGTATTTCCAACATTTCCATTAGATAGAATCTAGCCCTCTAAGCACCAATACTACTACCATTCCCTCAGCCAAAAAGATCTCTCCTAGTAACAAGGAAGTGGTCAGGTTAAGAGAATTTCACATATCACTGATTTTCAAACAATTCTGAAGTTACAGAAATATCATTTAAACTCTTAAATAAACCCATTAAGTATACAAAAATATTAAACTGAAGCCACAGGAAGAGTGTCAAGGGTCTCACTATCTCAGCAGTTTCAGTGCTCCTTGTTCCCATGATGACCTGTGACTCCCATGAAATTCATACAACACAAGAAGTGATTCAGTTAATCCCTGAACATTTATTTAGAGTATTTAAAAAAGAAAATGCTTTTAATTCAAATAAACTGGAAATTCAAAAAGCACCAAAGATAACCGTCCTCTGTGAGATATCACAGTTAAAAGGCACAACTCAGAGGCTCTTCACGCTCCATCTATTCCCTTCTACTCTAATTTTCCTTTTAGTACATGCCCCAAAGTACCTGTTACAGTTGTGTCTAGATCCCCCTTCCCCAAGCCTCATGAAGTCAGAGGTGGCTGGATGTAGTGTGTGTAATGCTGGGATTAGGTGTGTGATTTTGGCATCAGGGGTGTGTTATTACTAAATCAGTCTACGGATAGGTTTGGCATAGTTCTGGGAAGGCCCAACCTAAAAGAGTGCAGCTTGGATAGAATATAAGGGACAGAAAGAAGGAAGCTGCTGTCATATACTGCTTGAAGCTTTCACTGCCTTCTGCCTGCCATGAACTGTTTCCCCTCTATGACGCCCCTCTACCATGCCACCCTGCCTTAGAACCAGTGGATTAGAGACTGAAACCACTACAAACTGTGAGCCAAAATAAACTTTTCCTTCTTTAACTTTGGGTGTGGGTATTTTGTCTCAGCAATGAGAAAAGTATTACCCGACCTCTAGACCTTCCAACCCTATCCCTTCTCAGCACAACTGATTTGCATGAGGAGCTGACTACTCACTCGTCCTTATGGATTTAAAAGAATGACAAAAAACTGACCCTGTTTTTGTCTTGTGTATCCTTTCTGGCTCCAAACTCACACACAAAATTCACCTGTCGCCAGGTGGTAGAAAGTTAGGAATAAGCCTGACTTTGTCAACAAAGCTGACAACCCATTACTGTACCTCTACTTAGACAGTCTCATAATATAGAAAATCCCATTTCCTATAATTTTCAAACTTTAAGAATGCTAGTTCTAGCATAAGAATCTTTTGAAATTCTAGTATCTACACAAGACAGGGTCTTGCTATAGTTCAGGCAGGACTTGAACACACTGTAGTCTACGCTTGCCTCAAACTCTCAGCAATCTTCCTGACTCAGCCTCCCGAGTGCTGGGATTACAGGCATGTGCCACTATGCCAAGCTGACTATGAATTTCAAAGAAATGTTGACCCTGAATTTTAAAAAATATAAAATCTGAAATGTATACTCTGACTTTGTAATTAACACAAGGTTTTAATACTCATTTAACTTAAACACAAACCTGTATGGGTGGAATATCTGGCAAGGATGGAAGGTTTTCTGGATTAGTAACTGAGGGGATAAGCTCTATTGCTGTAACAGATGGGCTGGTGGGGCCTCGGTTTGCATTTGCCATAGTTGCTGTAGTAGGGCTTGTTGGGTTGATTGTGGTGTTGTGTACCGATACAACAGGAAAGGGTCCAGCATGCCCTGGGTTTGAGTGCTGTTAAGAAAGAACACATTATTGTCAGTTGACCTGTGAAGGTACCTAAACTATGCCTTTGTAACAATTTTACTTTAGAAAGCATATTTAAATGAGCAAGTGAGCCCTCTCAACTGTATGCATCAGAATTTAGCCTGCTCCTTTTTCTATTCATTTTTGTATATTAGCTACAGAAAAATAGACTTGTCAACAATATCAACCTAACAGTGGTGATATGACCTTATTTCAGAATCAGGGACACAGAGGATAATCTGGAAGGCTCAAAATTTTCAAACAGCAGGCCAAGAAAGCTATGATTCTATCTACATACCTCTTGAACCCTTAGTTGTTTTCTTAATGAAAATAATTATTTAATGAGCTTGATATGGTAGGAGAAAGCAATGACTTCATAAAAAGGAAATATAACATCAATTCCATGTAACCTCAGGCAAATCACAAAATTAAGTAATTTAGAATGGTACCTCATCTGTTTTATTGTGAGAGTTTTTATGAGCATCATTAAAGCCATACATAAATATCTTTGGGATATTATGTAAATACTTTAAAATATTTGAAAACTAAAAATGCTAATAAACATTCAGTGATTTCTCTAGGGATATCCAGAAAATATTCTATGTTCTAAGATGGTTGTGTAGTTTGACTGTGTGCCTTTTACACTCATTCAAAATGGTGTGCCTATTTAAGCTAAATGAAACAAATCAAGCACAAAAAAATAAATACCATGCAATCTCACACATATATGGAATCTAAAGATGTTGAATCCAAAAAAGGGGAACAGAATAAATAGTAGGTAGCAGGGACTGGGATAGGGAGTAGAATAGAAACTGCTAAGATGTTGGTCAAAGGATATAAAATTTCCTGTTGTACAACATAGTAACTATATATTAATGTCAACACAATATTTGAAATTGCATATTTGAAAACTGCCATGAAACTAGATAATTACTCTTGCCACAAAGAATGTTACCTATGCAAGGTAATGTATATGTTAATTAGCTTGATTAGCCATACCTTAGTGTGTATATATTTCAAAACATCAAGCTATTCATGGTAAATATACACAATTTTTATATCAGTTTTTAAAAATAAAACTTATTTCCCCAAGATGTTTTGTTTCTTTAATAGTTTCACTATGGAATTTTGTTGATTGCTTTTCTTTATTTTCTTTTTAAAATTATATCAGATATTTAAGTGTTATATAAAATTAATGAGAATTTATTAGCATCACTTATTAGATGATTTTCACGAATATCTTTATTTCTATAATCAAGATATATGTTTAATATAGGGAAAATTTAATAAATCCATTTATTTCCTCTGGTTGGAAAATAAAAAAATTTAAAAATAGATAAAATGGTGTGGCTGGCCCTTTGAAATACTTGAAGATGTTCTTCTGAGAACTAAGCAGTGTAAGGACATCTGAATAATTTTAAGGAAATCAATGTCCAGATCCTCAACTTTCACATATACTCTCCGTTTGAAAATGAGTATCATTTTAAGAATGTGACACCACTTCTTGACAACTGCCCTTCTTCCATTTGACAAAAATAAAAGCATTACCTCTGACCCTCTTCTAAACTTATTCTAGATACACTGTCCCAGGATGAGGTAAGTAGAGAAAATCAAAGGTCCAAACGGAAATAATACTGTTTTGAGAACTGAAAAGTGACTGGTTCTGAAAGCTGGATAATAAATCTTTAGGGTTTTAGTAATTGATGATTTTTTAAAAATTTCATGAACCTATCGCTCATAAATTTTCTTTAAATAGTTCTGGCAGATTATTTTGAGTTTTAGCTTACAATCTAGAAAATGTTCAAAGAACTGGGGAATACATCTATAATAAAATTATTTTAATTCCCAAATACATATTTTTCTGAACAAGTTGCCTAAACATCACTTGAAAACAAAACTAGTAATAAAAATCAATATTGGATTCTTACTCCAACAGTAAATAACAGTATACTAACACTGAAAAGGAGAGGGTAAAAAACTTCATTTCTACAAATTTAAAGCCAAAGAATTTTTTTCTTATATTCTTAAACCTAGCAAGCATATATTTTGTTCTAAGAACTGTATAAGGATAATGTAAAAGTTTAACAGTCTTATTGTCACTGGAAATTTAACAAAGAGATTTCACTGATCTACTTCCACAAAAAATTATGAGAGGAAAAAATATTACAAGAGGGTAATTTATGTCTATCAAGTTTAAATATATAATAGTAAGATAAAATTCTGCATAGGAAATAAAACTCAAGACCAATGAGAAAACAAATGTATAAAATGTTAACCTTCAAAAGAGGTTGCTATTATATTTGGGATTCTAGTAAATTCACTTAAGAATGCTGGAAAGATTTTACTTTGTAAGGTCCATATTTATAATATGCTATAAGTCTTTTGCAACTACTTATAATCTTCCAAGGGAGATTCTAAATAACAACCTTTAAACGTAAGGGAATTCATATTTTCAAAAGTTCTTCTGGAGGTATGTGGACCACAAAGCTGAAGGATCACTGCTCCAAGATAGGATTTTTCTCAACTTTTATCACACAGAATGATCTGAGAAATTTACTGAAAACTTTCCTGAAAATTCTGATTCAATGGGTTATGGCTCAGAACCCATTCCAATAACGCCACTCATTCCACCTCAAACTGACCAGTGATTCTGACAGCCTTTAAAATATGTTTTAGGAAATACTACTCCACAAGTTAAAAATGGAACTATGAACTCTGTCATTTTAAAACGAAATCCTCCATAAAAATTGCCTCATTTTACAATCACACCTCCTCCTATACAAATACAATCTACCATTCAGGCAAAAATTATAAGTATGTACCTAAATATACTTTATATTTGGGAAGAGTGCTGAGGGCATCGTGCATGCTAGGCACACTCAACCACTGAGTTATACTACAAGCCTACATTTATTTTTTAACTTAAGCATTATCTACATTAAATGGAATAATACTTGAGTAGAGAAACGAACTTATATACTATATCTAGCTCTGTTATTTTCAAAGTCTTTTTATATGTTAGGATCAAAAAGTCATATTAAGAGCAAAAGAACAATAACAGGAAATTAAAATTCTAATCTTGATTATATTAATATCTCATGACTGTAGGTACTTCAAAAGTTTCTTATAGATTATTTTTCATGTTTGTAAGTGAATGAATTGGATTTTATCAGGAATTTTTTTTTTTTTTTTTTTTTTTTTTTTTTTTTTTTTTTTTTTTTTTTTTTTTTTTTTTTTTTTTTTTTTTTTTTTTTTTTTTTTTTTTTTTTTAGACAGGGTCTCACTATGTAGTTGAGACTGACCTAGAACTCACTATGTCCAGGCTGGTCTCAAACTCACAGCAATCCTCCTGCCTCAGCCTCCCAAGTGCTGGGATTACAGGCGTGCACCACCACACCCGGCTATCAGGAATTCTTAACCTACAGTATGTGATGGGTTTAAAAGGATCAAAAAGGCACTTAAAATTTAGTACAAAGTTTCACATACAGTGTATATGCGTATTTTACTGGGACAAGAGGATACACAATCAAATTTTCAAACATATTAATGACCCGCCCCCATCAACTGAATAAGAAAAACAATGTCTTTTAGTTTTAAAATTGTATGACTCTTACAAATGTAACTCTAGGCATACTTGTCTTTGGAGGTGTGGTTGCATCATGGAATACTGAGGGCCGCTGTGCCTGGGTATCCCTGGGATTCTGGCAGCATTCTGAGCCAGTCTCATTTGATGGGCTTGAAAAGCTCCACAGTTCATGTTGCCTCTTTGCATTGTTTGCACACTGATCAATCTTGGAGGCTATAAAAAGTAGAAATCAGAATTTATATAATAATTTTTGTAAATTTATCTCTCAATTATAAAATGTTATGGTCAAAATAAATCAGTCAGAATATAAGCATATAGAGGGGCCGGGGATTTAGCTCAGTGGTTCCACCACCTGCCTCGCAAAAATAAAAAATAAAAAAAATTAAAAAAAATAAAGAATACAAGCATATAGGGCCAGAGATTTAGCTCAGTGGCACTGTGCCTGCCTTGCAAGAGCAAGGTCCTGAGTTCGATTGCTGGTACTGCAAAAACAAACAAACAAAACAACAAGCATATAAAGTAAAAAGTATATGTTACTGTTGTCACTGCTAGCCAATCCCCAAAGAACTGGTAATTACTAGTTTGTGTATCACTCTGAAATTTCCCAATCCTCTCTCGGTATGTATATATTTAAAGCATGTCAACATTAACTTACTTTACCCTGGAGTAATAGTTTTGATCAGAAGGGACAGAGAGCAGGAGAACCACAAGGATGGGAATGATCGAAAGAACAGATCAGATCTTAGGCAAAAATAATCTGGTTCCCTGGCACACAATGATCTTGTGGAGTGATGAGAACTTCAGTACTTCCAGAGTAGTAGTGAATTAATTTTATTTCCCAAGACAAGTTACTTACTTAAACTTTCTTCTTCCCACTTTCATCACATCCCCATCACAACCAGTGCAAATGAACTCTGATCTAAGAATTCTATCCCTGTTAGTGACTCTGAATGTGTAATTCATCTATATGGGAGTTTAGAAATCTTCATAATTTGTATGAATAATGTAGTGACACAATACCGACCTGCTGCTGTAACATTTGAGGGGCTGCTTGTCTAGGGTGCTGCTGTGTTGTTGTTGTTGTAGTCGGTACAGGAGCTGGCGGTTGCTGCATCCTCATTTGTTGCAACTGCTGATGTTTCTGTGCATATACTTGTTGTTGCATGTGCTGAAGTCGAAGCTGTGCTAAATTAATCTGTCCAGGGGTTTTACTAATGTGGTTTGTCCCTGGAGGAACTTGTCCAACTACAACATTTGGAGTATAACCAGGAGCTGGTTTATTCTCTATTACTAGATTACCTGAAGATTTAAAAATGAAAAAAGACTTGCATATAATCAACTAAATTGTTTACTTCATAAATTACTGCCTTTTCCTCCTTCTGCAGATAACTATCAGCACCTCAAAGTTTCCAACAGTACAGCAGGGATCAGAGCAAAATTTAAAGGTGATGATGATCAGAAACCTAATATATTCCAAAGCCAAAATAAAAATGACTTTTGATTATCTTGCCTTATCTTGTATTTATACAGGTGTGCAGAAAGTTAAAGATCTGAAAAAGGTATTATTAGAGGGTGTGCAGCTAATCAATCTAAATCAATTCTCCCATAACAAGACTCAAAGATACTCAAGATTGCTAATACTGGTTCCATTTGTTTTTGAATTGCCAAAATATAAAGGGCAGAGAACAATCCTGCTACAAAACTTTCTGTGGAAATACTAAATAGTTTAAACCACTCATATCTTCAGAAGTGACCAGTTTTGCCTTTCGGTCAGAGAGGGTATAGTTTAGGAAGGTGTGATTTAAGGCAGAGGTTGGAAGGCCATGTAAGATCTGTCAGTCTTTGATTTTGTTGTTTTGACAGCTCTCTGAAAATGTAAAACTCATTCTTGGCTACTATGGCAGATGAAAGCTGTAGATCTAAAGCTATAGTCAAATGAATAGGATTTTTTTTTTACCCAAAGATTACGTTTTTTTAAAGCACACAATTGACACTTTCATAATTCCCAATGTTGAGGTCTTTACTATTTTGAAAGTGAATTTACTGAATCAGTAGACAGCTTTAATTGTCAGGAAAATTTTTGTGCTATTTTAAGACTCAAGGTCTTGGGCTGGGGTGGTGCTCAGTGGTGCTGTGCCTGCCTCACAAATGCAAGGTGCTGAGTTTGATCCCCAGTACCATGGGAGGGGGAGGGAGTCAGGGTCTAACTGTGCTGCCAGGCTGGCTTTGAACTCCTAGGCTCAAGTAATCCTTTTGGCTTAGCCTCCCAAGTAGATAGGGATACAGGCATGGTTCACCATACCTGCTTTTCTTTCTTTTTTTTTAGGTCACAATGAGTAATAACAAAAGTCTCATCCATGTAAAAAGTGTTGCTTTTATCATTAAAGGATTCGGTGGTCAAGACATGACTACTGGATGCATCAGCTTTCTGAAGGTCCTCCATTAGCGCACCATTTGGCATAATTAAACTATTAAGCATCTAAGAAATTCTCCCAAGGAATGAAGAATCATTTGCTAAGTGCTTGTCTGTTTACGTTAAGGTTTTTTGTTTTAGACAGAGTATCATTGTGAAGCCCAGGCTAACTGTCTCCCTCAGACCCCAAAGTGCTGGGATTAACATGTATGCCATTTGCTACAATTTCTATATATGAAAATCAATACTAATTTGAAAAGATATAGTAAGAAAAACTAGAAGTGATGCATATTATATAACACTAGACAGGGTCTGAGGGCCCTGTATAGCTCAAGGCCCTAGGTTCAATCGCCAGCACAAAAACAACACAATACTACAAACTCTAAACATTGTTAAAATGTAGTGGCATAACAAAAACATAACTACAGCAAGTTTTTAATGAATAAGTTATTTTCCAAGTCATTCACATTTCATTTAGCTTCGTTTCATTTTTGCAATGCTACTAGGGATCAAATCCAGGAATGTCCTATCACCCAGCTACATTCAAAGCCTTTTCATTTTGAGAGTCTCACTAAATTATCCAGGCAGGACTCAAATTTGCAATCCTCCAACTCAGCCTCTTTCAGTGCTGGCACTACAGGAACGTGCCTCAATATTCTAGCTATTCATCTGGCCAGGTGCACCAGCACTCTGGAGGTAGGAACTGCTTCAAGTTCAACACCAGCTTGGTTTACATAGTGAGTTCAAGCCAGTCTGAATTACATACTTGAACTACACAGTGAGATCCTGTCTCAAAAAACAAAAACAAAACAAATCAAAGCAGTTTAAAAGCTGTTTTCTCAATTCAGTATTCTACAATACATTAATATAACTATTTCTCACCTAAATTGACTACATTCTTTGCCCAGAAGGTGGGATCACAATGGAAACGTATTGCTCCATTAGCAGCAGGGACAGGATCACACCGAGCTTTCAAAATATGACGCAACTGAAAAGTAATCTTAAAGGGGAAAAAAAGTTATGTTAGTCTTAAAGTTAAATAACAAGTGAGAAAGCATACAAAATACAGATATTTAAAAAGCTCAAATAACCCCTTGGTGTCAAGTCTCAGATGAAACAGTGCCAATGTGTAAATGAGCAATTGAATAAAATGAATATTCTTGAATTTCTGTCAATTCTGATAATAAACTCCAGTAAGATACTAGGTACTTCCAAAAGAGCACATACTGATTACATTATTTCCTTTGACAACATAAAGTTCTAGAAAATGAGAGATCAGATTAATGGCTGCCTAGGGTCAAGGGTATAAGTAGGGAAATTTGGGGGTTGACAACTGGGTAGTAGTAACTGTCAAATGTGAATAATACCTTAATAAAGTTGATTTAAAGAAAAATAAAGATACTATGTGCTCACCAGTCGCTTGCTGTACAGTAGTGCAGTGCTGCTGCCACTAGCAATGGCCCAGTTTGTAAAGTTCATAACGTGTTTCACCTGCCGGGAGAGACCCGTGATGTCATTCTGCTGCTGCAGTAGCTTCATCTGTCTTTCTTTTGTAACATTCTGGAATAGAACAAGAGCTTCACTCAAGAATGCTGCAGGAAAAAATGATGTACACTACCTCAAGATTATTTAATTGAGCCTATGACCAACCAGAGGAAAAATTACTAATAAAAGTGGAACTAAAACTTAGTTTTCTAAGCTAAAATATTCCACATACAGGAACTAATATTAAGTATCTTTTTCTTGCAGCACATAAAATGTCTGTTAAAAACTGTCTTCCTATTTGATTATCTAATGTGGCATTATGAACTGACCTTTAGTAATAATTTTACATAATCTTAACTCATAAACTTCCTAGGCCAATGAAAAATACTGTATAACCAGTGCCATCCATTGGTACGGCATGAGGCTGAAGCTCATATTTTTTTAAATACCTAAAACAAAACAAAAAAGATAAAACTCCAGAGCTTTAATAGTAAAATGAAGATAACTTTTTTATATAACAAAGTTCATAAAGAAAAAGGAGTGAGGATTGATTAAACAAGAAAAAACAATTCTGAGAAAACGCTGCAAAGGAAAAGTAAGATGCTTAACAGGAACTAAAGCCACCAGAAGGGACAGGTAACGTCCTATGCACTCTTGACATTTAGTATGCTGAACAAGTGACCTACTTTGATATCCACTCTTCCCAAACATCACTCCATCTAGCTTACTGGACAGTATGTTTCCCAAGGAAACAAGCTGCTCGTTTTATAACATAAATCCATGGGTAATGGTGCTTAATTGACAGCATTTACAACTTCACTAGAAGTTTTGAAAAGCTTAGGAAAACCTCTCTTTTACAAAGTTTAAGAACACATTACACTATTAAAAAAAAGTTTTAAAAATTATTATCATGTTAGGAGTATACAGTATACAGTATTTATCATTAAGTAGTTACCTACACTTAAGCCATAGAGGAAACTCTTAATTCTGAAGCTTTAACAGTGGTTTTACAAATTTTATTTTAGATATATGACTAAGATGCATTTACAGTAAATTAGAATGTATCAAAAATAGTTACTGCTAAGTGCTCTCCATTCACATGGTATTTTTTGGAGGAAAAGTCTATTAAGATTGGAAGTGACTTACTAGATGCATAACAGGAAAGAGACCCCCAACTTTAATGATATGTGCAAAAGCATCTTTAATCTCACAATTGTGTCTAATAGTAAAATGTATTTAAAAGATAGAAATTTAGAGATAATTAATTCACATGTGACTACATGCCTAATATTTTTAAAGTGTTCTATATATTCTGTGTATTAGGAAGTTAAATATTGTAGTCAAATATTACTATTCAATGATATAGAAAACAACTTTTAAGATATTTCACATATAAAATGTGTTGAGAACAATTCAACTGTGGGTGGTAAAGATGAGTCTAATAAAAATTAATTTAGGGCTGGGATTTAGCTCAGTGATGCTGCTGCCTGACTCGCAAGCACAAGGCCCTCAGAGTTTGATCCCCGGTAACCAAAAAAAAAAAAAAAAAAATTAACTGGATCTAAGACTGGATAAATCCCCAACTAAAAATGTAGAACCATACATTAATCTAAATACAAATATCTAATACCACAAAATTATCCGTAAGTTTTTAAGTTTACAAATTTCAAAATATGCAGCATTTTTTGAACAACTATGGAAATATTTTTAAAATAAGGTGAAACACACAAATGGCTTAAAGCAGAAGCCCTTTACGTCCTTGCTATAATGAGAAATGTGGTGGCCTGCTGTCTTCACTTACATTACATTTTAATAATTTTTTTCATTCTTACGAGGACATTACTATTTCCTAATGTATACAGCTTTAAGTGTTATATCAGGTTGCAAAGTAACTAACTAGAAAAAGGTCTCTTTCCCAATAGGAAATGGAAAAAATCTATTTTTAAATTTTGCTTTATTTCCATATCCCCAACCCATTTAAAAGAGCTTTCAATAAACATTAAAAACAGCTGAAGAGCAAGAGAAGCAGTTTTTGTTTTATTTTGGCTTTGAACCATACCTCTAGCTGCTGTAAGAGAGATTTTCCTTTCTTATTAATTTCATTGATAAGGGTGAAAATGGCCACTTTAATTTCCTGTTCTACTCGTTTGTTAGTCTCATTTACTTCTTTTATCCTGAATAAGAGAAATGCATCATTAGGTTATCAACTTATCCTATGTCTCTTGAGTCATCAATTGTTACAGAAATTCATCCAACTGGGCATTTAACCAAGTATTTAAATTAAAACTCTGTTAAAGTGTACAACTTGTATTTGGCAGACCAAACCACTTAATTTGGTCCTGACAAGTTATGTATAGAGACGAAGAATGAATATTTAGTAATTTTAAAGTAAGCTCATAAAGGCCAGTCAATTAGGCTGGCAAACAATCTCTTTAAGCCATTATAACATGAATGTAACATACAAACATCTAATACCAAAGACTGCTGGTTAGAGTCAATTCTGGAACACTGGTTCTGTTTAATCTTAAATGCTTTCCACCATCAATATCCCCACCAATAATTAATACCTTTCCATAGGGCAGGAATTAAAAAAAGAATTTATTTTCACTTAACCATTTCAAATGTGGGTTCTAATACAGTCCTTCCATAATTTCTTCTCAAAATGATCTCCTACTGCATACACTAAAAGGCACAAGATATTTTCAATCCCACCCCCTCTTTTTGCAGGGAGAGGGGAAGGTGCAGTTTATTGAGGCTTGAGCCTAGGGCTCTCACAGGGTAAGTACATACTCTACCACTGAGGTACATTCCCAAACACCTCCGAGCCTCTTAACCCAGTTTTTTTTAAACAGCTGTTACATGTTTCAGATATAAATATTAGCATCCACTGTGGTTATGAAAAGTGTGGGTTGCAAATATGAAATGGGTGATAACCTTGATATTTATAAAATGGACATGGGGAATATTCAACCAATAGAAATATATAAAATGTCAGCAAGCATAAAAAGTAATCTTCACTGTTTTTATATATAAACTGCTTTTCATTTGCAAAATCCAGATTTGGGTAACTTTAATTCACTACAAATAACAGTAATGCATTCTTTCCACCTTTGTGTCTCACTGTCTGCTTGGACAGTTATTTGAACTTCTTTCTTTCATCCTTTTTCATTTCAATAATGGGGATTGAATCCAGGACCTTCACACTGAGCTACATTCCCAGCCTTTTTAAAAATTTGAGATAGGCCAGACATGGTGGTGCACGCCTGTAATCCCAGCACTCAGGAGGCTGAGGTAGGAGGGTTGCTGTGAGTTCGAGACCAGCTTGGGCTACATAGTGAATTCCAGGTCAGTCTCAAACTACATAGTGAGACCCTGTCTCAAAAAACAAAAACAAAAACAAACAAACAAACAAAATTGAGACAGGATTTTGCTGAGTTGCTTGAACTTGCAATCCTCCTTCCTCAGATTCCTAGAATCTTGGGTTTAAAGGCAAAACCCACCACACCTAGCTTTATACTTTTACTGAATGCTGTCCTTACAAAAGTGAACAGAGAAAAAAAAAGTGAATGGAAGACATTTTTGTTTTTAAAGGTTTTATTTTAAGAAATATACTGTATTGGTCTCCAATAAAAAAATGAGCCACAGATGGGAATTATTAAGCATGCTGAAAGCAGAGAATAGTTAGCTTCAGATTTACTGGATTCATATCAATTGTGAAGGAAGAAAAAAATGTACACTAAAAATAACAGACTTAATGCAAAAAACAAAAGCATATCTAGCCAGATTATATATTAAATAAAAGACAATGAATAAAAACAATTTAATAAAGATAAAAAATAATGGACTTGATACTTGGGAGGCTGAGGCAGGAAGACTACTCCAAGTTTGAGTTCAGCCTAGGTGACATAGTGAGTTCAGGAAGCCTGAAGTACACACAGGGAGACCCTGTCTCAAAACACAGAGGAGGGGAAAAAAAAGGAGGGCTAGGGTATGTGTAGCTCAGTGGTATAGTACAATACTTGCCTAACAGGTGAGGTCTTGGGTTCAACACTCAGCAACCCCTTTCAGCCCCCAAAACAGAAAGGTCATTGAATACTGTGTCTAAAAAGGAAGATACTAGAGATTGTAATACTTTTTAAACAGATTTCTGGAGATTTAATCTTCCCCAAAGCTTTAGAATATTAGATAAACCCTTTGTTCTATTTCTGATTCAGCAGATTATGCAGATTCAGCAACATACAAGGGGTGATCAAAATATACATCAAAATATAAATTAAAACTTACTATAGTAAGAGACATTGACATTAATCACCCTCAAAATACTCCCCCTCGCTTCAAACACACTTATCCCATCATTCTTGCCACTTTCTGAAACAGTTCTCAAAGTCCTCTTTGATGAGTGTCTCTATGAGATATGATAAAAGAAAAAAAAAGATAAATTGCTGCTGAGTGTCATCCCATGAAAAGCCAGGTCCATAAAAACATTACAATGTGTTCTCATTCACCTCGTTCACCAGATCTGGCACTGTAGAACTTCTGGCTTTTCCCTAAAGTCAAAATGGTCCTAAAAGATAATCATTTTGAATTGATTCAGGACATTTAGGCAGCCAGGGCAACACAATTACGAAGACATAAAAGACGACTTCCAGAACTGCTTCAGAAAGTGACAAAAATGAGGGATGAGCGTGTTCTAAGCAAAGGAGAGTATTCTGAAGGTGATTAATGGTAAAGGGTAATTAATTTTTTAAAAATTTAAACACTCTCCATATTTTCAACTCTACCTCACATGTAGAGTATATTAAAAAATGCAATACAAAAACATGCTTAAAAACACGAAACTTCTATGTAAATCAAATACCTCTGAAAGGGATATCTAACTACAATTTGTGAGAAGTCAGTTATCTTCTACAACATCAACCAAAACTTATCAGTACTTTAGCCAAAAACATCCTGACACTTCAAAAAACCAACCAGCAAGGAACAGCATGTGTGTGTTACTATCTATAGCCTTTTTCATTTGATATCACTTAAGTTGAAAAGTCTGAGCACAGGTAAAACACTATTTATTCAATTTTTGATATATTAAAATATATTAAATATGATATATTCCATTTTAATCATCACAAATTAATGTTAGTATTTAAGAGGAAGTCCCACTATCTGTGAATCTATACTCCCGCAAAAGCACATAATCACCCTATTCATACCTCTGGAAATTCTGGTTTTTATTATGCCAGCTCCAAATGTTTGTCTTTCAGTGTAAGAATTCTGACTTTGTTAATCTACTCTTTCATGGAACTTATTTCCACTTTCCCTACAAATTAATTTATTCAGAAATGTACCAAAATAGGTAATTTTTAAGTAATAATGATGGCAGTAGTAGTAATAATAGCAGCAGCTAATATGAGTGTACAATATCCTAAAAACTGTATTATGTATTCATATGTTACTTATAAGTACTGCTTTAATGCTTGTTTGAGAGATGAGAAAATAAATGTGTCTACTACCTTTTATTTATTTTTTTTTAGTTCTAGATGCTGAACCTTCGGGTACTCCACAACTAAGCTATATTCCTGGTCCTTTTCTATTTTATTTTGAGACGAGATCTCTGTAAGTTAACCAAACTGGCTTCGAATTTGTAATCCTACTATATCAGTCGCCAAAGTAGCTGAAATTACAGGCATGCACCACCATGCCCAAGTGTCTACTATTCTCGATACTCTCTTCTCTGTACTGTATTTTCCACACAATCTCTATTTTAAATTTATAATTCAACTCTCTTCATACTAATTTCTTTTTCCAAGTTTAGGGCTTACACAGCTTAGTCTTATTAATTATGTAATAGTCAAGGATGGATCCTAACAGTATATAAAAATTAGGCCAGTTAAATTTTGCTTAACAAATAGTCCCAAACTCAAGTCATATCACCTCCCTTTTAAAAATTATGTTTTCTGTATATACTTAATATAGCAGAAAACCAATTTTAAACAGGATCCACTCTTCTTTAATAGTCCTTAGTGTGAAATTATGCTTTTAAGGCAACAAACTTACCTATTCTGCACCTGAGTAGCTGCAAAATGAACATAATTCTTCTTTTCAAGAAGCTTAGCCAACAGATTCTCAATTGCACCTTTCTGATTTTGAAAAGCTTCTTCCAAAAACTGGTACCTTAAAATGAGGACAAAAACTGCACTTAATACAAAATTTACAATTAAGAATTGGGAAATCAAGAAGAGCTACACAATTCAATCTTTTTTTTTAAATTAGTACACATTCGCACTACATAATGTTTATATTCCTCAATCTTGAAACCTTGATCAATCAACTCTATATGCTGGCTACTTGTGTATTACTACACCTTACTAGTAATTTTTAACTTGCAGTTCCTTCCCCCAATCCTGAAAAGTCACTAGGAAAGAAGAAGAAACTTACCACAAAGTATTTGAGTACACTCTAAAGTTCTGATTCAAGATTACTTTTTTTTTTGGTACCAGGGATTGAACTCAAGTCCTTGCGCTTGCAGGCAGGTGGGGGCAACACTGAGTTAAATCCCCAGCCCAAGATTACATTTTTTAAAAAATCCAAATAGTGCAGTAAGTTAAATAAATTTCAAATCATAAAATGTAACCATACTATACAAAACAGTATCAAAGGAGGGAAAAATCACTCATAGGTCCAACATCGCAAAAATCGTTGCTACCATTTTAATGTAATATATGTGTGTGCAGCTTTTATTAATTTTGTGGTGCTGGAGATTAAACCCAAAGCCTCATACATGCTAATAAACACTCTACCACTTAGTTACATCCTCAATGCTAATTATACACTTTTAAATGCAACTGTAATCACAACATAGATGCAATTTTGTACATGACTTTTATTAATCTTGTCTTTATATACATCAAATTTTTCAGTTTTAGATGCCATATATTACAAAACTCTCCAAAAGTGTTATAGAAGACACCACCAACACCACTTTTACTATGTCAATGAGAGTGATGCGTTCAAAATTTCTCTAATAGTGAAAATTTAGACAACATTAAAGTCTAGGTCCTTGGTTACCAGGAAGTTGGAATATAGTTCTTAGTTTCATTTCCTTTTTGTAAATTATTCATAAAACCAACAGATTATTTTTTAGTTTCTTCTACATACTTTCCATATGAGTCAATGGCATACAGTCCAGTAATACAAAGGCAAAAATATGAACTGATATCACACTGCGACTAAAGCTATAACCTGCAACAGAACCTGTGCCTAAAGTGACCTAAATACCAAAGAAAGCTTCGTTGGATAGACAGTCAGAATGGCATCCTCTGCTAAGTGCAGAGACATGTTTAATGCAGTATAAAGACTTCACTATGGCCAAAGAGAAATGTGCAATGGTCAGAATGTGACACAATAACTGACATTTTTAAAAATCCAGAAGCAGATTGTGAAGGGTCTGGGAAACCATAGTACTTCATTTTATTCTTTAATAGAATGCTCATGAGAAATTCCAAACAGAGTGTGTTAGATTTACATTCATGAAAATCACTAAACAAATATAAAAGACCTAATGAAGAGGGCAGAAAAGGAAAGACCAATTACAACTTTTAACACAGGCAGGCATTCAGATGATACATAATATTGGTTAATATAGTCAAACATACTGGAACAACTGACTTCCTCAGAGAGATCAGAAGCTTCGGTGATCTGGGAAGCTGTGTCAGGTATAACAAGATTCTAGGTACCACATAATATTAATGTCTGACTAAAGCAAAGAAAACATCACTAGCCTAGCATGGTGCTGTATTCCTGTAATTCCAGCACTTAGGAGGCTGAGACAGAAGGAGTAAAAGCTTAAAGTCAACCTGCACTACATTATCAAGTTCCAGGCCAGCCTGGACTATATAGCAAGGTTATCTCCAAAACCAAACCAAACCAAACTAAAACAGAAAGTCACTAAGAAAGAGGAGTTTCAGGTTCTAAACAAATTATAATTATAAATTATCTTTGTAGAAAATGAAAAAATAAAAGCGAAGGCAGATGAGAGGAGGAGAAAGACTGAATATCTAGATATCTGTGTCTTCAGTGAAATTCTCCCCTAGGGTAGACAAAGAGGAAGTGCTATGAAATTAACATGAAGGAAAGTTTGTTAACGTAATGAGAAACTTGCTTCATGGTAAGATTCCAGAGGTAAAAACAAAGCCGAGTGTAGTGGCTCACGCCTGTAAATCCCAGCACTTGGGAGGCTGAGGCAGGAGGATCACTGCTAGTTCAAGACCAGCCTGGGCTATTATAGTAAGTTCCAGGTCAGTCTTAACTACATAGTTGAGAACTTGTCTCTAAACAAACAAACAAATAAACAAAAAAGGTAAAAACAGAGGGTAGTAGAAGGTAAAATGTAGAGCTATGAAAATCTGTATGAGAGAAGAGTTGGTGGCTATTTGCACTGATTTAAAGAAAAATTATATTAAGGTAGATTATATATAATACACCAGCTTGACCATTTTTAAGGAAAATATTTTTTGAAAAAAACTATTAAGTCAAGCACATAAAAACCTGTATGAGACATTAACTAAATAGCACCAAAAAATGAAGTGAGTATTTTAAGTTAAATGATTTTTAAACCGGATGCAGTGATGTGTGTTTGCAGTCTCAGCTACCTGAGAGGGTGAAGCTGGTGAAACAGGATCCCAGACGTTAGGGCCAATTCCGGCAACCTATTAAGACCTTGAAAAAACCCAAATAAAAGTAGTTCTAATGTCAGATAGAAGACTGCAGAGCATAGTCCTCCTCAATTAATGCCACTTACTGCATATGGTGTGATTTATGTCCAAAAATGTGTTAAATGGGTTCAAATGAAGTAGAAATGTAAGAATTCCATGATAAACTGGGGGTGGTGGCACACACCTGTCCTAGCTCTTAGCAGGCTGAGGCAGAGGATCACGAGTTCAAGGCTAGTCTGCACTACACAGGGAGATCTTGTCTCAAAAATCAAAACAGGCCAGGCATGGTGGTGCACACCTATAATCCCAGCACCAGGAGGCTGAGGCAAGAGGATCACTGCAAGTTCAAGGTCAGCCTGGACAATATAGTGAGTTGAAGGTCAGCCTGAACTACATAGTGAGACCATATCTCAGGGAGAAAAAAATCAAACCAATAAAAATATTCCATACTGGGTCAGGGATTTAGCTCAGTTCCACTGCCTATCTCACAAGAGCAAGGTCCTGAGTTCAATCCCTGGTTGGATGTTGATAGAACTGTAACAACAAAGAAACTTGGGAATAAGGTCTGCCAGGCAGAATTCCATAGAAACACAATACAGGAAAGTTAACACTTCATCATAATGAAGTATATGGTGATGGTTAATGGTACAATTGACTTTGTGAAAATTTTGGTGGTGGCGAGAAAAATGAAAGACACAGATAAGCAGAAAGTAAGGAAGAAATTAGAGAAGCAGTCTGTGTAAATGATGAAGATGGCAATTTCATCAGATAACAAACCTTGGAATTGACAAATGTGTGACCAGGGGAATGAATATGGATAGTGATGGTCAAGTACTACAAAGTCTGTATAAACGACGGCCAGGGATTTAGCTCAGTGGTGATGCTGCCTGCCTTGCAAGCACAAGATCCCGAGTTCGATCCCCAGTACAAAAAAAGTCTATATAAATAGCATAAAATGAAGATGTTGTACACTATGTTAATTTTGTCCAAAATTATTTGGTCTCTATGTTTTTTGTAATAATGTTGAAGTTTTCTCCCTAAAGTCAAGCAGAATGCATGTATAGTAAATTAACACTTCATTCCTCCATAGTTTGACCCTTATCTTACTGTCAGTGTCCTGAAATCTTACTTTAGAAAACAGCTGGGCATGGTGGTGCACGCCTGTAATCCTAGCACTCAGAGCTGAAGCAGAAGCATCACCTCAAATTTGAGGCTGGCCCTGGCAACACAGTGAATTCAAGGCCAGCCTGAACTACATAGTAAGACCCAGTCTCAAAAAAAGGAAAAAAAGGAAATTGGTAAGGGTATTATGTTATATGTGACTTACCATAGATATACCTAAGGCCCTCTGCAAATCTAAACTTAAATCAAATTGGTCAAATGAGGAACATTTGGCTTATGTCTTTTTTTAAATAGTTTTCTTCAGGAGGTGCCAGCATGCTGTTCAGAAGTGTCAGATTATATATTTACACTGACTGCAGACAGTCCAACAACGTGTACTTAAAAGCTGCACTAATAATGTGAAACAGGAAGAAAAGGTTTAAAGGAGTAGGGGAAGTAGAAGGAATAAGGGAAAGGAAAGAAGGAAAAGGAAAAAAAATATGAGATAAGAAATAAATGGAGGGCCGGGGATTTAGCTCGTGGTTCTGCTGTCTGCCTTGCAGGCGCAAGGACCTGAGTTGATCCCCAGTACCTAAGTAAATAAATAAATAAATGGAAAAAAATAGGGAGAGGTGGAGAGGCTAAAGGGAGGGCAGGGGAGTGGGGGAAAAATAAGAACCAACATACATCATGTAAAAGTACAACTTCACAAGGAGCTGGGGATTTAGCTCAGTGGTTCCACCACCTGCCTTGCGAGCACAAGGTCCTGAATTCAATCCCTGGTACAAAA